ATCTTTAAATATCCGTTAGAAGTCATAGCTGAAACCAAGGGGGTGACTGTGGAGTTTAGGATCCGAGTTCCTATAACAGATAAAGAAGCATCTGCCTTTAACTTTTTACTTTTGTCACGATTGGGTGTAGACAACATGTAAAAGCCCATATTTCTTAAGTGTAACTACTTTTTGCTCAAGTAAGGTGTCATGTATCAATTTGTCAACACTGCCACTGGTCAAAATTTTGGTCTGTATTCTTTGTGAATAGAAAGGTTACATTTTTCAACTATAATAACGTGTCTTGTTTTTTTTAATTTCGACTATTGTTATTTAATATCAGCGGTCTCGGTCTCGGTCTCGGACCATATTGGTCTCGGTCTCGGTCCGCCTTGAAGGGGCTGGTCTCGGTCTCGGTCTCGGTCTCGAATCTTCAGTCTCGGTCTTGGTCTCGGTCTCGGACTATCTGGTCTCGACTACAACACTGGTGACTCCCCCACGGAGCCGACCCCCACACTCAGGCCCGTTGGGTGTCGTCTCAGAAATTCTGGAGAGAGATCACCTGCGACGCAAGGGTGCTTTCTATAGTCAGCCACGGCTATCAACTAGAATCTACAAGCACCCCTTGGTCGAAAATTTGTGTTCGTGAAACACTGGTTCCGACAAACACAGACAAACGATTAGCTCTCGAACAAGAGATATCATCCCTTATCGAGAAGAGAACAGTCCGCTTTGTACCACCAATGGAACAATTCACAGGCTTCCTGTCCTTCTTTCTAACACCAAAGAAGGTGGCTAGCTTAAACTGCTCAATAGGTTGGTCAGACCCAAGCGTTTCCAAATGGAAACACTCCATGTAGTTCTAGAGTCGCATACCTACATGTCCCCATCTTCCAAGAGCACTCCTGATTCCTATGTTTCCGGTATCATGGGCGCACTTACGAGTTCACTGCCCTTCCCTTCGGGTTATCAACCTCGTCAAGAGTGTTTACCAGGGTTGTGCGGGCAGTTGCATCATGTCTTCATCGAGAAAACAATGATTTTTATGGATCTCGACGACTGACTGATAGTGGCAAAATCAAAAGACGAAACTGCTCAAAATTTGAGAGATACTTATACGTTGACAACGAGGCTAGGCTTCATCATCAACGAGAAGAAGTCCCAACTAATCCCGTCCCAGGAAATCGCTTTTCTGGGAACAGAGATCGATCTATGCAGGGGCATAGCCGTCCCCACAGGGGAACGCGTTACCAGCCTGCGGAAGTGCGTCAAACTTTTCCTATCTGTTCAAGTCGCTCCACCGCAAGCTTGGCTGAAACTTCTAGGGATCATGGCCAGCTAAGTGGACCTGGTCCCCTGGTGCAGACTGAGGATGCGTCCTTTGCAAATGCATCTTCTGGCACATGACAGACCCGAGACAGATCCAATCTCTCTAGTGATCTCGATCGACGAAGTCATTCGGCCACACCTTCGGTGGTGGCCATTGGAACAGAACAGTCGGTGCAGATGGAGTTTCCCCAGAGGGGATCCTCACGCCATAATCTCCACTGACGCTTCCAACGAGGGCTGCGGAGCCTCCCCTCCCCCTTGACAAGCTGCAGGAATTTGGGACGACAACATTCGGTCCCTACATATCAATGTTCTATAGCTTTAGGCTGCAGTCAACGCCTTACACCACTTCCAAGCAGACGCAGTGGGCCGGTCTGTTTTAATCAAGACCGACAACACGACAGTGGTAGCATATATTAACAAACGGGGCGGTACAAGGTCACCCCAGCTGTGCTACCTGACTTGGGAAATGTGTTAGTGGCTAACCAGACACAAAGTAGATCTACGTGTCATTCACGTTCCTGGTGCGGAAAACAACATAGCGGACTCTCTCTCCAGGGGCAAAATAATTCTTACGGAGTGGTCATTGAACAAGAGAATCGTAAGTCAGATCTTCTCGATCCTAGGTCGTCCACACATAGACTGGTGCACCTCCGCAATCAACACTCAGCTCGCGGTGTTCTACTCGAGATCCCATCATCCTCAGGCATGGGCCTCGAACGCACTATCAATAGACTGGACAAACATGTTCTCTTACGCCTTCCCTCCGATCTCAATCTTTACAAAGGTCATCGGGAAACTGGAGAGAGACAGGTGCAAGATCCTACTGATCGCCCCCTTCTGGCCGCGCCAGCCCTGGTTTCCGCGACTGGTGAGGCTCCTAGTGGGCTCCCCTCTAATCCTCCCAGATCGTCACGACCTATTCTTTTAGCTTTAATCCCTGTTCCGACACCCGGCTCCGGGAGATCTCCACCTAGCGTGCTGGCCACTGTCAAGCGCGCTTACCGATCAGCAGGTCTTTCTTAAGACGCGGCAGCCCTGGCCGCAAAGGGACGTCGTCTCTCAACACGACGAATCTATGACAGTCGACTACGACATTATAGTAGGTGGTGCGAAGAACAGGCTGTGGATTCACTCTGTGCTTCTTTAAACCATTGTTCAGAATTTCTACTGTCATTGTTCAGAGCCAATTTGTCAGTAGGAATGGTGCGAAATTAACGATCAGCCATAGCAGCAGTTCACACAGCTGCGCTGATGGCTCACCCATTTTCTTTAATGTGGCGATCACTCACCTACTCCGTGGAATGTTCAATGAGAGGCTAACAGTCCGGTATCTAGTCCCATCCTGGGATCTGGGTTCGGTCCTGAACATTTTGGCCAAGGCTCCATACGAACCTTTGGGCCAGGCACCTCTCATTCATGTGTCAATAAAGATTTCTGCTTGCAACGGCTACTGCTAGGCGTAGCAGCGAGATCCACACGCTGACATTAGATCCGGGACGTATTCACTGGGAACTAGGCGGGGTCCGCCTGATCCCAAAAGTGTCTTTTCTGACGGAAAATCAGACACCCTGTGTCCCCGCAAACAAATTATGGTGTCCTGTGCGATCCCTAAAATGGTATTTGGCACGCACTAAACCACTCAGGGGTGATTGCATGCGACTTTTTATTACAACAATACAGCCGCATGGCCCCGACTCAAGGGACACAGCAATCAAATTCGCTACTTCGGACTGGCTATCCAAATGGGATGCTCCTGTCCGAGGCCTTGTCCGGACCCATGACGTACGCGCCGAAGCGACGTCCTGAACATCTTTTAGCGGGGTCCCTATCACAAAAATTTCACAGGCAGCATGCTGAAAGTCGGCCTCGACATTCACATCTTGCTACCTACGTGACATACTCCAGACTGGAGGTAACATGGGGAAGACGATACTGATATTTCACCAGCCCTCGTTTAAGAACCCTACCCTGCACAGTAGTCTTTCCCGGCCTGGCCAGGAGACAAACTAAGCGGGTAATACATTACATGTATATTCAACCAAAATGGTTTAAATCATGATGTATATATATATATATATACTGTTGTTTAACCATTTGGTTGAAGGGTGTCTCGCCTACCCGGCCACCAGTTGTCGGTGCCACTCTATGCATATGTAGTAGCTATTTGGGTAAGTGAATGAAGTAGACAACCCCCCCCCCCCCCCCCACAGAAGTGTGGGACGAGTCTACGAGTGATACTTACCCAAATAGCTTCCCGCCCTCCTCCCCACTCTCGGCTCGCGTTACGATGGTTTTTCACCTTTAGTGCGCGAGAAAAAAGAGGAAGTATAATGGCGGATTCATGACGTAGCATAATGGGTAGGCCCCGAGAGGGCGCTCGGTGGTTGATTAAATCTTTTAGCGTTTGAGCCTGTCGGCTGAATAAATATGCATATGTAGTAGCTATTTGGGTAAGTATCACTCGTAGACTCGTCCCACACTTCTGGGGGGGGGGGGGAAATCAGCCACACATTTTTGCCATAATTATTGGTACACTGACCAGTAAGTACACTGCCATAGACCTTGGTGGTAATTACACACACTTCCCAAAATTATTCTATTCAAATCAAATCATGCTTTTTTAATCCTCTTTCACTTTCTATTCAATTTTTGTTCTACTATCCAATGACTTTTTAGAGACAATTCCACCCAAAGATGACCACCCCTAAAAGCAGGCCTGAATCCCATGGCCATTTTGAAAATGGACGCTTACACTTGCAAAATAGATCCATCTTAGGGCATAAATTCATCGAAATTTCACTCAATAGGAGCTTGCAGGTTTCTGCACGGCTTCCACCCGTCTTTCTTTTTTTTTTTACAAATCCTCAAGTTCACTGACCTCAATATGCTCTTACACCTAGAATTTGAGGGCAAGTAAATCGTGATTTGGTCGGCGTATGCAATTTTGGACCAATTTACTGGTATGCACCCTAAGAAGCGAAATTTTACAATTTCATCCCAGACCACATTTAAGGCAAGAGGATTATGGGCGTCGCCAGGCTTTTTTTTAGAGCGGAAAAAAGCAAACTTTTCTCCCAAAATCCCTTTATTTTCCAGCATTTTCCCGATTGATCATTTTTTCGAGGGTGCACGGGCAGGGACATTTGCCCCCCCACCCCAACCCATTAAATTAACAACAATATGATTTTGCACATCTTTTTTTTTTTCTTTTTTGGTCCTTTTTATTTCATGTATTTTACTTGTCCGGGGAAATGGGGGAGGGTCTGGGGGGAGGGTCTGGGGGGAGGAGGAGGGGGGCAAGCGCCCTCCTTGCAAAACATGATTTGGCCGGCGTATGCAATTTTGGACCGATTTACTGGTCTAGTCTGCACCCTTATAGCCTCAATCCTTCGAGTTCCTCCACTTATGCAGGGAGGACTGTTGAAGAATTAGGAAGGCTAGGGACTAATCCATGTTTGTACTCTTTATCTTAACTATCTGTCCGAATAGCGCCGCCAACAGTTCCTGCACAGAGCTAACAATTCTTACCATTCTCCTAATAAAAGAAGCATTTGTATATAATCATTGCCATTGTCAAGACATCAGTGTCATCTGTGTGAAGTTTGACTTTGCTTTTGTGGGTGGACCAAATGCATCCCTATACTGCTCATGCACAAATCCAATTTTATTTCAAATACTTACAAACCAAGGCGAGAAAGTCGACGACTTTTTCTCTCGTGTGGCATGCGTCGCGTTCAACGCAGCAGTCGGCAGGGAAGTTGAAGACCAGGAACACAGAAACCCGATGCACAGAGAAAGAGATCTCGTTGGTAAGTTGCCCCTTTAATCCAGTCTCTACTTAGCATTTACCTCTTCTTAATTGGTGGCGTTTTGTGGTTTTTTTTTTTTCAGAAACCTTGGGCAAGTTTGATCAAGGGTCATTAGCCCTCGTGAAGTTGATTTGTGACGTACTACGCACCTCTGTACTAATGGCAACGTCCAAACGTCTTTAGTCGAAGTCCAACACTAGTCAATCAATCTTCATCCCAAAACCTCTTGATCCTGGCTCTCGGTTGAGTCCAACTATGGTCAAATCCATGGTCGGTGAGCCTTGGTTTCAGTGAAGTTAGTTGCACTGTAATTAACCATAGTTTGCACTTAAATTTGCTCTAATTATCTCTGAGGTATAGATTTATATCTGTCCAACAAAATTAGAAGCCTTAATACTGAAGTGGAACCATACTGGTGCACTCATTGCTTCTATTCATGAACATGTCGCCGATTTTGAAAATCCTATTGGCTGATGAAGCAATGAGTGTGTTTGTATAGGACCTTTGCTTAAATAACCCGCATACACTTATAACTTTATCATTAACACCTATGCTGAAAAATCTGAACTGGTTACCAGTATGCAGTCTCGCATCCATTGTAAGGTCCGTTCTCATCTTCTAAGCTATCCATGTTCTATGTCTAGCCTACATCTCAGAACAAGTGGGTGCTTGTACCTTAAATTCTACCAAGGTCCCTAAGATCGTCTTCCCAGCATCTTTTCGCCATATTGCTTATCATCATGAACACCAGAAAAATGAAGAACTATATGGTGCAAGAGCATATGCATGTGTGGGCCCTAGACTTTGAATTCTCTCCCACTGTCACTGCGATCCGACCTGGAATTGTTGAAGACCAGCCTTAAAACACATTTATTTGAAAATTATTTTCCCATATTTCTTTATATTTGTTTATGCGCTATAAGAATGTGTTGTTATTATTATAACTATCACAAACTGCCAAAAACATAACCGTACCTCCCTCAATAGCTTTCGTACTGGCTGCATGGTCACTAAGTACCACAAACCCCTGTGCAAATTATTAAACTGTATAACTGTCAAAGCTTGTTAAACTTGTTCGATATATTAGATAGGGTGGCTGATAGGTTGACCATTAATATTGGTACGCTTGCGTAGCAGCCACTTCAAAGGGTTTGCCTTTGTTTGGCTGGAATGCATGAGTGAACCTTTTGTGTCTTCATTGTTACTGAGCTAAATCCATCATTGACCGGCAATCGCCACTGCTATCGATGTTAGTCAATATAGACCCTTATCATGCTGCCACCATTTCAGTCATATGTTTCCTGTACCGAATAACAGCACCTAATGATAATGTTTTCCGTGCAAAAAGAAACCAGACTATTTTTCCTTCAAGCCTCGCTTTGGTTACGTTGATTTGAATGTGAAAATATCAAGATGGCCGCAACATCATTGTCTATTCTGAATTATGTACCACAGCATGTCAATTGTACCAATATGAGACCAGTATCAGGACCTGTCACCTGATAGATCTTGACATATAGGGTTATAACTTTCTTTACAGATTATCACTTACAGAGGGAGGTTGATGAGAGTGCATCATTGGTTTCTGTGAACCCATTTTGGGCTAATGAAATTTAGCACTATAAAGAATTGGTACTTTGGTAGAAAAAAACATCCCACACATGCATTTATACAGCCGCAGCTGTCACCAACCGAGTGCTGGTCCCTTGCCCTTGACCGGGGAGGTACATTAACACCATTCTGGGGTTTGATACATTTTTCATTCATAAAAATGACCACTTCTAAGTTGCTCTAAAGTGGCTTATTTCCGGACCATTGACTGCCCCCAAAAATATTTTCTGAACCTGTTAACCCCAATTGCCCCCCCCCCAAATATTAGTCTGGCCCCGCCACTGATTATGGTGTACGTGCATATAACATACATCTCAAAGACAGCAGGATATTATAAAGAGATCAACAGATTCTTGGATGTCTTTGTATGTACATTTTTTGTTGAAGTCGCTGTGTCAGTCTACTTTGCTGTATTGTAGGAACAAAGGGAAACAACGCAGCACCCTCATTGGTAATGGTAAAGTATATATGTGTGTGTGCTAGCTTGTGTCCTATGTTTGATGTCATGGTACCTTCTGTAATTTTGATTTCAGATTTGAACGTCGACATTGCTGCCGAAAGACAAAGAAAGTGCAAGTGCTAGCAATGCAAAATTTATTATGTGAGAATTCCTTAAACACCAAGGTTGCATCTCTCATTGATATTCTATGGATCTTGATAAACTTGGACCGTCTAAAATTTGCTGAAATCCAACGCTAGCTTTTGCTGGGTGTTGGGCACGACTGTAGTGTGTTGATACCAGCTAGGCGTACTTATCTGATTGCAAATGCACGAAACCAGACCCCTGCAATGGTCAATTGAAATGTGCATAATGGGTTCATGTTAAACTGTTCAGCTACAAGAACATGCCAGACATGGTTTTATTGTGCCCTCGCATAAATGAAAAGTTTTCAGTTCTGCCTCATGAGGGCACTGTTGAGTACAAAAGCTGCCCGGAGAGTAATCGTTCCGTACCCAACGCCCTGGGCGTTGGGAAGGGCTAATCGCCTTCACACAACTTTATGAAGGAAGCGCAGGCGCGCAAAGCATTGTGGGCGCAAACTGCTGCAACCGATACATGTACATTCTGTGCGCATGTGTCATGCGTGCAGGCCGAAAACTTGACCCATGTTATTGTTCAAACAAATTCTATTGAATGAGAGCTCAAAAAAGATTATATCATACATGCAGAAGAAATTATTAACCCTTCCCAGCGGCCTGTTCGGTGGTGGCCTGTTGGGTACGAGCGAACCAGAACACTTGAAAATACCGGCCATGTTTTTCAACATCACTTGTAGCACTGTTTGAAGGAACAGTGTATTTTATTCTACATTTTGTCTTTCCAATCCTACACATTCATTGACCTTTTTATTTTTTTATATATAGAGACCGCGTGAGGTTTTAGATTTACTTTTTTAATTCTTATTTTTTTTAGCGGAAAGAAAAGGGTTTTGAATTATTTAAAACTATGTTTATCTCTGAACAAAAGCCTCATGTTTTGTGGGCAGTTCGTCTTTATGTACTACTTAATTACCACCAAAGGTTTTAATGTTGATTGTTTTGTTTGTCATTTCTAATATAGTTTGCTCTTTAATTTCTAACGAAATATATTCTATGGTTTTAAATTGTTGATGCATAAATTTTAACCATTCTATTCAGTACACCCAATTCTATTCAATACACCCAAATTTAAGTCAGTATTTTGGCATAGTTTGTGGGTATAAAAAGCAGTGTTGTTGACTCAAGTCGCTGACTAGGACTCGAGTCGGACCGAGTCGCTATTTTTGCGACTTTAGACTTGACTTGACTTGGGAAAAAAATGACTTGACTTGACTTGGGGAAAAATTGACTTGAGACTTGACTTGACTTGAAAAATTATGACTTGGGACTTGACTTGAATAAATTTGACATGCTGACATTAACACGTTTCTTAAAATTAACAGAAAACACAAACCTCTGGGCGTTTATGCGCACTAGTACAATCGGTTAAAAGGATGCAGATATACACAGCGAATTATTAGGCCAAAAAAATAATAAGTCGGTCTCTGGTCAGCGCGCGCGTGTCGATTTTAATCATGCGCGTCAATTTTTTTTCCCAAAATGTTCCGCGGTAGCTCCAACAGTGCCCTCTATTGTCGCACCTCCTCATTTTTTTTTACCAAAGAGCACCAAGGAATGGGAAATTGCACCAAGGCAAATGATCGAGAGCACCAAGGCAAATTATGGAGGACACCAATGTACATGAGGACACCAAATAGCAAAATAGTACCCCACCTTGTCTGTACAATCCAAGCTTGAAGAAAAAAAAAAAAAAAAAAAAAGCCGCGTCCCCGCGTCAATTCGGGAACTTTGGTCTGACCAGAGACCGAATATATTTTTTTTTTGGCCTTAGCAACCAGCACGCGATCGTACATAGCTAGCTTGGCATCCTGAGCCTGCCACATGACTAGCACTTTGCGTGTTTTATGTACAACGTATCTATCATACTCGACCCCGTGCATGCGAGGTGAAGTTTGTGCCGTGCGTAGTCTGAGTACCATCCGTTGTTAAAGAGCGGTCATTCCATAGAAACCATAGGCTACACGTACACATTGAGTGGTTAACCGTTAGCGTGCTAAATAAGGTTTAAACGACTGAAAACAGCTCCGTACACCCTTAAGCCAAAAAAGGTCTGTGGTTTCTGGTATGGAGCTTGCCCCCAAAAAGTGGTGCGGCGACGCGGCTTTTTTTTTAACCTGTTTTTTTTTGCTTCAAATGTCGGCTGATGACTGCAAATGGTGCCCGACTAAACTTAGTGCAAATATATGGGAGTCCAGAGAGGCCACATAAAGCTTACTCTCGATCATAACCCCATCTAAAAACATGTTAAAATTGTGTAGCAGCAGGATTTCAGTCAAACCAGTGAGTTTGGCTGTTTTGAGACATCATCTTTTATTGAAAAAAACTTTTTCATTTTGCCGACGCGCATGGCTACGGCGACGCGCGCGTATACCAGAAACCGGAGACTAAATCCGCCATCAAGCAAAAATAATTCACATCATTCATTAAACGAAAACGTTCGGAAGGACATTTTGTCAGACGTCCTTCAAGCATTCAACATGATGGAACAAGTTTGAAGTATCAAAATGCGTTTTTAGACTCTTTAGATAAGATGTTTGAGAGAGGGTGTTTGAAAGGTATGATATTTGTTTTGAATCTCCTCACATGATCCATGCTTTGATAAACCCCATTCCCATCTCTACTCCAGCTCCGTATATAGTCGAACATATAAACTGGTTCCTGTACGCAATATGTGCATCTGATATTTAAAAAACAAAATTGACTCGAGACTTGACTTGACTTGAAAAAAATTGACTTGGGACTTCACTTGACTTGGGAAAAATTGACTCGAGACTTGACTGACTTGGAAAACAATTCACTTGAGACTTGACTTAAATTGACCTGCTAGAACTTGACTTGAGACTTGACTTGACTTGGAAAAAATGAATTGGTTACAACTCTGATAAAAAGAACTTTCCCCTTCTAGATACATGTACTAGATTTGTACCATTTGCAGGCGCGGTTCTAGAACCAATATTTTTTTTTGGGGGGGGGGGGGGCTAGCAGGGTGGATCCAGATTTTTTTCAGGGAAGCGTGCTGAAATGTAGACCGGTTATTTCCTCCAGACACTTAGGGGGGGGGGGGGGGGGGCTCAGGGGGCTCATGCCATATTTTCAATGGGGAGCGCCAATAAAATCCTAAATCATTCACACTATATCAACTACAAATGCACCCTTGTCACGACTATTCCTTTAGGGGGAGACCGTTCGCATGTACATGTACATGTACATGTACATGTACATCACAATCCTTCTTTTAGCTTATGCAATTTCTTTTTACGGAATTTATTAGAACCGCGCCTGACCATTTGCCTTTTTAACCCTAACTCCCCAACCTAATATACTAGGAACATATCCATTCAGGCAAATTCCAAGAACACCCATTTGGGAATTGTACACATACACTGTTGGACTTAGTTTCTGGAGGTATATGCCAACCAGACCATCTGTTAAGGGGTACTGTACCTATCCCAACAGATATCAAAACCTACTGTTGAACTTTGATGGGTTGAGTTCGGTTAGGGTTGTTTTGGCACAAAATCTTTATGCCTGCACAATATGGTTGAAAGTGCCTTGAAGCAATCTAGATATAGTATATTGCGATTCCCAAAATTGGTTTGCCATACAAATAGCTTTAAAAATGATTTCAAGGTAAAACATATTTAGCTGTTTCTGTCACAACATACCCCGAACTCTTCCGAATCCAACAAAACCCTACAGTGAGGATTGCCGTATTAGACCGCTTGCAGACGCGTTCGATAATTGACGCGCGAAGGTGCGCGACGCCATGTTGTGGGACAAAATGTGCATGGATAGATATGCGCTTGTCCCACAACATGGCGTCGCGCGCCTTCGCGCGTCGATTATCGAACGCGTCTGCAAGCGGTCCATAAGACGGTTTGTGTTTTCTGTTGAATTCTATTGATTCTTCTGGCTTTGTTGGATTATGTTGAATTCAGCAACATTCAATCGGAGTAGATGCATCAGGTAAAAAGATTAAATAGAAGATGATACAGGTGTATTGTTTTTGCAAAATCCATCAAAATCCATCAAAACCTAAAAAATTCCAATACAATCCAACAAAATCTAACCATGCCGATTACGTATTTGTATTCTGTTTATTCTTGTTTGATTGCGTTGTTTGGGTTATAAGTTAATGTTTTGTTTGTTCTTACATGTATTTCTTTCGTTTTTGAAAGTTTACAAGATGCCAATGAATTAACACGTTAGATCACAGATTGACCAGATTTAGAGGTCTTCTTATTTACATAATTGGAGTCATCTTATATGCATACATATATATTCAGCAGTGTTGGAGCAAAGGCTTTGACCCTCAAGGCCAAGGCTTTGACCCTCAAGGCCAAGGCTTTGACCCTCAAGCCTCGAGGCCGAGGCCAAGGCTTAACCCTCAAGGATAAGGCCAAGGCCCTGTTTTATGTTATGACCACTGATATAGACCTAATTATAGTCACATGAGTGACACATTATCACGCAAGGGCGGATCCAGAACACAATTTGGGGGGGGGGGGGCAAAGAAATTTTGGTCCCCCTCCCCCCCCCCCCAAAAAAATGGGGGTCAAAAAATTACGGCTTGGGCTTCGGGGCCCGCTTAAGGGCCCTGAAAATGCTCTGTAGTGCGATTTGAGGCAATTTCTGACCATTTTAACCGATGTTTTTTGAGGAAAAGATGGTGGTGTACTCATTGCCTGCTTTTATTACGACGTCACATAAAAAAAATGGTTTCTTTTTTGGGGGAGGGGGGGGGTGGCCCCTTTTGGCCCCCTGGATCCGCCCTTATCATCACGAATTGCTGATTGCAAAGAACAACATTATTTTCTTTAATTGCAATCAACATGCTCGCATAGGCCTACACCGTTTTATGACTGCACTTTATTTATTAAAGTATAAGTTCAGGTCTTCAATATGGTTTAACTAAACAAAATAATGATTTACTTCTATATTGACACACAATTCTCCCAAGTGTAACAAAAGGGGGATCCAAGAAACTGATTTGGGAAATTTTTATTTGCTAGCCCAACATGGTCAGAAATATTAGCATTATCTAAAACAGATACATGCAAATCTTTAGCACTTATCAGGGAGACATATACAACCAATCAGATCTATTCCATAGTTATATGCAATTAAAGTGATCATCTCATTAGCCCCACAAGTGTATGGAATATTTTTGCAGCAAATCTACTACAATGGTAACAACATGTGATGCTATAAAAGTGGAAGTGTGCCCAACACACAAATCTACAGGGTGCTTCCCTCCTCCATGGTAATACGATTAAAATGGTAACAGCACAATTTCGAACAGATTTATCTAGAAAATGCACAAATCTATGGGCCTTGAAGAGCCTTGACTCAAAATTGCAAGGCCCTGAACCCTCAAGGCCAAGGCCAAGGCTTAAGCCCTCAAGCCTCGAGGCCAAGGCCCTAAAATCCAGCCTTAAGGCCAAGGCCCAGCATCAAGGCACTACATCACTGATATTCCGCAAAGTGTTTGCCCTCCTGAGAATTCCAAAGCTGATTTTTTTAAAACAACTTGTCCAAAAGTAGGATTTTGAGATTTAAAAGGAGGTTTTTTTTATTTTTCTACTCAATTTGAAAATCGTTACTCGTTAGAGCTTGCCTCTGTAGCCAATTTTATTGTGTAAATTTCAATGAAAAGTTACAATTATGTGTCAGTTTTAAGTTTGGGTTCAATTAAGCTGCAGAGCACTTAACATGAATACATTTTGTCAATTGGCTTTTTTGTTAAAATGAAATATACATTGTAGGTGCAAAATTATGCAAGAAGCCAAACAATTGGGATACTAATCAGGGATGCCAGTTTTAAGGTTATAGGCTGAATTCAGTTTTGTTTTTATATGTTTCTGAATTATACCACATAAATGATTGTATAATATGTTTTTTTATGTAAAAAAAATTATATTGAGAAACAGAAAAATATTAATCTTCATACATTTACTTCAAAAGAAAGAATCGTTGTTGAAAATTTTGTATTTTGAATTTATAACAGTCACTATGAATAAAACGTATTGATGCATTTCTGAGTATTTTGGTGGAAAACCATCGATATCCCCTTGCAATTATTTTCTTCAAACATAATCAATTTAAAATATGCTGGGGGCGAGCAACTTGGCCAGGGGATGAGTTGTGATTTTATGAAAGGAAAAGAAACCACGAGTTTATATTCTTTTATTTATTTTTTTTTACGAATGTTGATGTACATTGTATTCCCTAACGTGGCGCGCGGCCCCTAATAATAATTTGATTGTTCGCTTCTTGTGCCATGCTAGAGCATTTTTTTTTTCAGCTCAAATTTCACAGTTAGTTGAAATTTCATCATGCTCTAAACATTCCCATTCATTAATCTTGAGTTTACGTACCCGCTACAGTTGACTCTCGTTAGTACAAACTCTGTTAATACAAAATTCTGGTTATAACAAACATAAAGCCTTGGTCCCGACTGTGCATTTATGTGCACAATGAATGGGACTGATGTTCCTCTTAATACAACATTCTGATATAACAAACAATTTGGCTAGGTCCGAACGAGTTTGTTATAACGAGACTCGACTGTATTAAGTTTTATTGAGCTTCTAAGTTCTGTTTCAGTGGCGTGATTTTCTGATTTTATTTTGAAATGCACAATGAACCCTTTTAAACTGCGCCCAAAATTCAGAAAATAAATTTTGGACAAGCTTGTACAATGTAGTTGGGTTTGTTTGTGGCGATAATAATGATTTATCAGAATTTATCAAGTTTTAATTCTCTCAGATTTGTTCAAGTGCACCACGTTAGGGAGCACTCCGCCGAATTTGTGCCAACTTAATTTCCAGACGCTACCGTTTTTGAATTTCTGACTTAATTTCATCACACTGAAATTGTTCGCAAAAGGTTCAACAACAAGCCTTATTACGGTAAAATTTCCAGCATTTTACAAAAGAAATTGAGGTTTTTCAACAAAGAGGTTTGACAGCACTGTACTGCATGAGGAAAGTCGGAGAAAACGTAAGTGCACTTTTGGGAAAGTACTTAAAATTGCTCAGTGAGCCCATACCAAAACACGAATAAAGCAATTTTTAGGCTTCAGACTGGCGATTGGTGGCGCCCTACTGTTTTACCGTCGAACGAAATGAAAAGTCAAAGTGCAGAATTTTTGTCAATGTCATGACGGACGCAAAAAGAGCCCGGAAGGACCGAACAATACGACAATTTACTCCTGTAAGTCATAGAGAAAGACATAGAACTTTCTTGCTTTACCAGAGACTTGTTTCGGGTGATTGTTTTTTGATATTGGGAACGAATTCATGCATGACAGAATGACGACTGACGGCTAGTGGCGGACTACAATTTTTTTTTTTTTTTTTTAGGGGCGGGGATAAGGGGGGGGGTCATTGACATATAAAATCGACTTTGGGACCCTTCTTATTTTGTACTTCTGGCATGGTTTTAATCGTTCCAATGACTTCTACAAGCTTTTAGTTTAATCTTTTAATTCTAATGACCCTAATTTTTGAAATTTTTAATAGGCCTACTAAAAATAATAGTCGCTGGGTCAGTGGGGCCCGGCGCCCACGTGTCATGGCCCTGCCCCTGGCATGCCTGGGCATGACTGTTATTTTTTGGGGGTAGAAGAATATGCACTTGGTCTAATTCTTACCTGGTCTTTCAGTTGATGCTATGTCAATAATTTCGGAAAAAATGCTGTGACAACCTGACGCCACTTTTTTTCTCATCATCTCAATGAAGGTCATGACATTCGTTGCAAAAATGATAAGACATGAATTTTGGACTGAAAAACATTTTCAATTTTGTTAGGAAATACTTACAAAATTGTCTTGACTCTCCATAGACTTTGTTCACAATCGCTGAAGTGGCGTCAGGTTGCAACATTTTTTCCGTTTGTTCATTATACAATATGCAATTTCGGGGAAAATGTTGCAACCTGACACCACTTTTTTCTTCATATATCATCTCAATAAAGGTCGGTCATTTGCAAAAAATGATGATAAGACATGAATCTGGGACTGAGAAATATTTCAAATTTTTTAGGAAATACTTAGAAATTTTCTTGACTCTTCCATAGATTTTGTACACAATCGCGGAAGTGGCGTCAGGTTGCAGTATTTTTCCAAATTTTTATTTTCATGTTGTGTTTTGCCGTTCTCGCCATCATTTTGCCCCTTAAATTTACCTCAAATAAACAAAACCATGCAGTTATTTTTACACGATACTCGTGTTGCCGGTTTTTAACATTGGTCATTACCAGCCAGATTTAGGCGAGTCCAAAAACAATAGTCGATTTTCGTTTTATCAGAAGTGGTTCCAAAATTACGCTTTCATCAAAAACTGCAGCACAAGACTTTCAAAAAGCAGAGAAATGTGGGATTGGACACCTGTTAAAAATGGATGGAGCGGGACACCCCTCCCCCCTCCACTGCCAGCTGCCTCCCCCTTTCCCCAACCCCCTAGCCACCCCTACCCCAACTGCCCCCCCCCCCCCCACTCCCACCACCACCCAAGCTCCGGTGAATACAGGTCAACTCGTACGCGAGCCAACTCGTACGCAGGACAACTCGTACACGGACCAACTCGTACGCGAGGCAACTCGTACGCGGGATAACTCGTACGAGGGCCAACTCGTACGCGAGCCAACTCGTACGCGTGAGTATAGACTAGCAGCCGTAGCACAAGGGATTTTACTGAAACCGTAGGTTCGGGCATATTCAAGGGGACTCCCACTCCGTATCCGCGTAGTCAGCCAACGGGGTGGTTGGTTTGGACTTCGAATTTTGTTCAGCAACTCCCATTCCTTAGTTTTGTGCTGCTTCGTTTTCAAATAATGGACCCCCACTAAGTATCCGCGTAGCTGGCAATGGACTTGAATTGTTTCTTTTCCAGTGATTCCAACCGCGTAGCCAGAGATTTTAGGGGTGTATTTCCGAATGGCGGGGTATTCTGCAATTACTCCGATTATTTTGTGTTACTGAGGCGTCCCAATTAGTTCATTTTTAAATCAGCTTGTTTTGCTCATATGTTACAGTCATCATTTGCCCTACCATATTTAAAAATAAAACGTACATCGAAAGAAAGTGGATTCAAGCAGATCACCGTAAAGTTATGATTTGTTTTCCCGGACCACTCCGCGTACGAGTTGTGGATTCAAGTGGATTCAAGCAGATCACCGTAAAGTTATGATTTGTTTTCCCGGACCACTCCGCGTACGAGTTGTCTCGTGTACGAGTTGGTCCACGTACGAGTTGTCCTGTTTCCGCTCCGGTGAGCACAAAGAGCACCATAATCTATGATTTTTTGACTTGCTTAAAAAACAACGGTGACGATGTCCTCATTTTTAGCAAAAAGGATAATTTATGAATAATGAGTCTTTTGTGTGAAGTTGATTAAGTTTTTTATTTCTCCTTTGTTTATTTGACAGCCATTAAATGAATCTCCGTACAGTGAACGCGACTTCAGTCCGACAGTTCGGAATGCCTGCCTCGCTAACAAGACGGGAACTGTTGGGTAGGTGAAATAAATCATGCATGGATATTATGCAATGTAAGCACTAGGGGGAGCAATAGGGGGAGCAAAAGAGGGAACGCCCTTTCTCTAATACTTTTTGTATCTATAGATCCAAAATCACCCAAATGGTGTTTAGGGTAATAATTAGGGCCCATTTATAGTTTCTGGGTAGAGTTGCGGGTAGAGTCCAATAGTACTGAATTTGGTTGATACGAAAGGAATGATTGTACAGACTCTACCATTTGGGGTTGGCCATGCGGGCCGCCATGTTTGCACACAATATATTTGCACATGCATGTAGAAACAGAAGTGCAGTTCATGACATGGAATATACAGTTTTCAAAAGCCTGTTACAACAGAACCATTCAATTTGTCCAGAAGAAGCTCTGCATTTGTCCCGGATATGTTCCGGGAAAATTTTCATCAGCAACTGCTTGACTCACTAATACTGACAACTTAATTGCGGGAAGATTGCGTGGAAGTTGGTCAGAATCCTGAAACTTATACCCGATACAGTGCCCGGAACTTGTCACGGATATGAATTGAGACAAGCCCTAATGTCTATCAAGTTTTGTACGGACTACTGTTGTTTTCTTTTTTGGTTATTAAACTGCTTAGAGCTTATTTATTCTGTTTCTACTTACTGGAGACTTTGTCAATTTTCACCAATTTTTACTGAAGCCTGTTGGTCATTTTGTAGATCTGTGTTCTCATAAACCCAGAGAGGGAGTTTGTTTTGTTTCAGTGAAGTCTTTTTTATGTTTAATAAATTATTTATAGCTCAGAAGCCTAAAGAATGCTAGAGAGAAAACAATGATCAATTGTTCCCAGAGTAACTCTCACACAATTTCTTTCTTTTTATTAATTATTTTGTACAGGTTAAAGGTGTCTAAAATGATAGTTGTCGGAGATGTTTCTGTCGGCAAAACATCTCTTGTCCAGCGGTTCTGCCATGAGTGCTTCGACCGGGACTACAAAGCCACCATCGGCGTCGACTTCGAAGTGGAAAGATTTGACATTCTCAGCGTTCCCTTCAACTTACAAATGTGAGTTGTACTGTAGACACTGTCAAACCTTTTCAGCAATTGTTTTGGTCCAAAATTGTTGTAAAGTTTTCTACACTTCGCCACTAAAATCACTTTGCGCTCAGTATTTTCTGAAAGCCTGTTAATAAAGAGAATGTCATTGTGATTGACTTGTGATATTACTTATATGATTGACATGTACTTGACTTTTTATGACTTGTGTTTGGCTTGGTATAGACTTGTGATTAGCTTGTGATTGACTTGAGATTATTTTCTGATTGAGTTGTGATGATTGTGATTAAACTGTGATTTACTTGCACTAGACTTGTGATTAACTTGTGATTGAGTTTACTTCTGATTGTCATGTGATTCACATGTGATAACTTCTGGATTAATAACTTCTGATTTACATGTGATGGAGTTGTGATTGATTTGTGATTAACTTGTAATGACTTGAATGTGATGTGAGATTTACTTTGTGATTACTTATGAAGACTTGATAGAAACTGTTACTGTGATAAAAAAGCCCTGTACTTCGTGAATATTTTCAGCGTTCCGCCCTAACCAAGGCTTATGTAATTTCATGCATAGATGGGACACAGCAGGCCAAGAGAGATTCCGATGTATAGCCGCAGCCTACTACAGAGGTGCACATGGTAAGAATTATCAATAATGATTGTGATTTGACCCTCACACACCTCATCAGAGGCATGTTTGTATCACGAACCCCCCTTCCAAACGAATACTCTTTTCATCATGGGCTCTTGGGTGGTTCCTGCACGCTCTCTTCTGGCATCCTTTTGCTTTCCTCCAGAGTTGTAACGAGTCACTGATTTTTGTGACTCGAGTCGAGTCGAGTCATTTTAAAGAAGTGACTCGAGTCGAGTTGAGTCATTAGGTCAAAAGGTCGAGTCGAGTCGAGTCGAGTCAAATATTTAGGTTGAGTCAATTCGAGTCACGAATATTTGAACACTATATATACCAAAATGTATAAAAGGAGGCCATAGTTTAGCCAGCGTTCGAATCCAAGAGCTTTATAAGAAATCGCCCAAATCCAACGATGAAACAGCAAATTAGAAAATGTGTTTAAAAATCTGGTTCCTGGATAGTATTTTGTGCGTTCTAGAACCATTAGTTTGGAGTCTGTGACACGTTGTATATTTATACATGACTGCTGTTCGCAAAGTCATTGCGAATACTTTTGCAAAGTTGTGCTTTTATTTTTGGGACTCGAGTCGAGTCGAGTCACCAAAAATTGTGACTCAAGTCGGACTTGGGTCGAGTCATTGACTCGAGTCATTACAACTCTGCTTTCCTCCTGGCAGCGGCCACAGCCCTTCTTGTCTTGTGTTAGGCTTGTAATTATCCGAGATACAAGTCTGACTGAAATTCCCAGTTTGCAGGCTATAAACGCTGCATGCTCTTCAAACTGACACATTTTAAATTTTTTTATTTTTTTTTTATCTTTCTTTCAGTTGTTGTGATCGTCTTTGACATGATGGACCCCTACTCACTGGAGAGCGTGACCAGGTGGCATGAAGAGGCTCTAAGGGAAAACAATGGACAAGTTCATCTCTTTCTAGTTGGGACCAAAAAAGATCTTTGTGTAAGTACAGGTATCAAATTTCTCCCAAGACAATCACCAGGGAAATTGTTCTTTTTGGGAAGACATTTGTGAGGAATAAAGAACATTTCTCACAACACGCACAGCCTATGCTGGGTTTGTGTCGTTATGAACAAGGCATTAGATATGCATGTAATGGACCAATCAGAAGATAGGAAACAACTTAAAAAAACACAAAAAGCAAGCTGTCCGGCTCAACATTGGCATTATTCAAATTTTACTTCGTATAACCCTCCTATGCAAACATACGTTCTGTGCAATTGTCCTTTCAGTATCGATCAATTGACTGTTTTTAATAGTTGAGAGCTCCAGCCTACATAAAGCAGGATTGACTGGCTGTGACTGTTATTTAACTTGATATACTTTGACTGTAGGTGATTGATAAGCCAGCTGTGCCTACCATTTGCCTGCTTTTGTCTGTTGACTGAATTTGAATAGTCACAGTGCTTGCTTTAAATATGATCTGACTGTTGGTGACTAGTCTATATAAAAGGTATGGCAGGAAAGAAGATTGATTTTTTTGACTGTCTGTGACTGTTCAGACAGCAGAAGATCTAATTATGTGAAACATTTCATAAAAAAATGAAAAACTTAAAACAAATTTTGTTCTCCCTTTATTTTGTATATTTTAGACCAAGCAACAATATGTCGAGGCTGAAGAGCGCGGTTTTAAAATGGCCCAACAAATAAAAGCTGAATACTGGGTACTCTCATCATTAACAGGTTAGTAGAGATATTTCCCTCCTACAGAAAAGATGATCCACCCCCCAAAAAGTGTCCCATCGAATCCTTGATCATGTTTTTTTTTGGTGGTGAAAATCATCCTTTAATCCAAAAGCACTTTTGTTATACATTGTTTTCAATGTGTATGAAGCCATGCATAAGATAATATCTTCTAATATGTATTGTCACTGTCAAGTTTGTAGTGTGGCGCAAATCCAATATCACTCATTCTATTGTAATATTTTCAATCTTTACAAAGGTGAGAACGTCAATGACTTTTTCTTCCGTGTGGCTTGCATCACGTTCAATGAGGCAGTCAGCAGGGAAGTTCAAGACATGGAACTCAAGTCAAAGAAAATCTCGGTATCCAGCGGAAGTAATCTCATAAGTAAGTCTTGTTGTCTTACCATATCCTTCCTGATCATTTTGTCCTCTTGTTGTATTCACTCGTACACTGTGTGCGTAATAGTCAACGGGAGAGTGTAATATGAAATGGTACCCGTAGAATTCATCTACCTGTTCTATTTTATATATCGTATGTTTGATGCCATTTCACTTTCTATTTTTTATTTCAGAATTGAATAAACCCGGCGATCTTGACGCAACACTGAATGACGGAAAGTGCTCCTGCTGATGAAAGGGCAACACAAAATGACCTTTTCGTAATAAATTTCAGTTACACACACAGCTCATCACCATATGCCTAGATATAACCCCGCCTTTATTCGCCACCGTGACAGCAAGACGTTGAACTTGATTGGCCACCACACCAAGATTTCGCAAATATATTTCAGTTACACACACAGCTCGTCACCATATGCCAGGATACAACCCCACCTTTATTAGCCACCGCAGCAACAAGATGTTGATTTGATTGGCCACATGCCAAGATTTCGCAGGTGGTCAGCCAATCACACTCTTTGTACAATAAAGAGAGCACATTCATCAAGGAGGCCTTACTAGAAATCCACCAAATGTAATATCCTTTTATATATCAGTACATGTACATACCTGAAGCAACTATTTTGTGTATAAGGCCAAATAACAAAAATTGAGTTTCTTGTCAATGTTTCTTTAAAGCTACCCTTTTGTTATCGGATTTTCCAAGATTGATTCTTAAATTTTCTCGACTCTTTTGCTGATATTTTTGTGTCCAAAAGAGCCATCACCCTTTCTACCAGAACTTGCATACATACAGGGTGTCTAAAAAATAACCTGAACTCTCAAAACAGCCTCTTTTTCACCGTATTGCAAGAATATATCACAATTATCTGTACATATTTAGAGAGTGCATGCCATAAGCTTTTCAACAACGAAAAAATCTTTGCAATCGGGTACATATTTATTGAGTTATGGCCAACTAAAAAATGAGTATCACTTTTTCAATCTGTCCATGGCCTGAATTGTTATTTTGTTAGGAATGGAATGGATTTTGGGTGAGGGTAGTTTTGCTTTCTTTATTGTCTTTCTCTCTTTATTTGGTTCTGTTTATTTTTTGTTTATTGCAACAATGGTCATTGATCCTTTTGGAATTAATGTAGTCCTGAAAAGAACTGTTTGGTTAACTTCTTAGATGTTTACTTAACTGCTCCGTCTTTGCCCTCTACTTGGTAGCCCTTTTCGCAAATGCAAAATTCGGACCGTGCTCTTTTTGCGACAATCAAAAAATTGGTCGCCGTGGATGAAATGAAAAGTGGTACTTGTTTTCAATTGGCCATAACTCAATAAATAATTACCAAATTGGAAATATTTTTTTGTGAAAAAGGGTGATCTGAGGGTAAGGGGTTTGTTTGACACCCTGTTTGTGGGACACAATTTTTCTGGAAACACATAAAAAGATTGCAACAAAATTGCTTGTTCAAAAACAGAAGGGAGAAAAATATAAGAGGTGGCCGGGAAAAAACGAAGCTTGCAGGGATGAGAAACTGTTTTATTTTTTTATTTGGCCCGAAGTAAATGTTTGTGTCTTTAGGGTCTGTGTTGTACACTGTCAATGGCAGTATAATTGCGACGAAGCAGACAAAACCAATTTTCAACTAAATGTTCACAAATTCAAATAATGTGTTCATGTTAAAAGTTTAGTCCAAGAACATGCCAGAAATGTGTTCAAGCGTTCTCGCTTTAAAATAAGTTGTTTGTTTTTTTCTGCCACACGAGGGCGCTATTAATTAGGCAAAAGCTGCCAGAATTCTTACAAGCATGATCAAACTTTTTTCACCACCACTGGCAGTACTGCTTTAACAGAAAATGATTCTGGTATATGTGCATTTCATTTCATTAGAACACCCGAGTAAATTCTCATCATGTGATTGGTTAGTCGTTCATCACATGTCATTGAATTATTCGTCCCAATGCACAGCCAGGCCACACCGCAAAAAGAGAAGTTCCATTCAACGGTAAATACAAGTTTGATTGCATGGTCACATGATTGGTAGCTCAGACCAATCAGATGACGAGGATTTATTGAGGTTTTAAAACAAGCAATGAATGTTTCGTGCAATGGAAACACTAATTTTATGAGGTGACAACTTCTTCTCTTCGAATGGAACATTCCATCTGTCATCTCATGAAATTATTGTTACCATTGCACTCATAAACATTCCTTGTTTGTATTCTATTTGTTGTCTTTCAAATCCTACACATACATTTATCAGATGCTTTAATATAAAAAAAACTGAACGAGGTTTTAAAATTACTTATTAATTTATTTTCTGGTCCAGAGAAAACAGGATCTGAATAATCCTTTCCTTTAAATGCTATGTATGTTTGCAGGTTGCATTTATGTACTACTTACCACCAAAGATTTTCATGTTGATATGTTTTTTGTCTGAATGTTATATTTTCTAAAATACTGTATTCTTTAACTTCTGTCAAGTTATCTTTCGTCGAGTGGTATTTAATTGTTGTTGGTGGATATAAATTTTGTTAATATATAATATGTAAAATATGTGAGCGCAGTTCTTGATTAACTGAATGCAACACAAAAAAATACCAATTACGTGTAAAAATGGGCAATTCTGTAAATTCGGACGTACATGTCAGACACTTTAATTAGCTGCTGTTGGAAAAGTGAATTGGATACATCTGAGTGGAAGTTTTGAAGAACAAAAGTTTTGAATAGAGTATGTGGAGTTCATTGACCTCTCAAAGGTCACCAGAGGTTAAATATGAAATGCCTCCATATCTGAAAATTTTCTTCATGGCATGAAGAACCAACATGCAAAGTTTCATGCTTTTAACACAATTTGCACAATTCTTTAGCATATTGGGGCTACATGCCGCACCACTATCACTGATATGTGACATCTAATGAGTAAACGAATAATAACGGAACAAACCGAAATACCACCACCTTAACAACTTTGTACATCATGCAGTTGTGTGTATGCAGAAACTTGAATTTTACAGAATTGCCCTATAAAAATTGTAAATTTGGATGAAATTTGTTAATTTATTACAGGAGAGGGGTTATGACCCTTGTTTAAAAAAATTCATTCATTAGTATCAAAGGTAGGGTGATTTGTGCATTGTTTTTGTTTGAAGCAACAAAAGTGCACAATATCCAAAGACGAATAACAACTAACCTCATGAAGTGTTAGCTCAGTGAATGCTGTATATTTTAAGAAAACAATATTCTAGGATCTTAATTTCAATTCAAAAGTTGGCAAGTCATATGTTGAATTGTGCATGAAATCTGCTTCTGGGACATGTTCTTATTCATCTGATTGCAGCTACTCAGTCACACCCTGAATCGACAAATAACAACTGTGCGCGCGTATGCGTCATGTCAATGCTTGCGTCACTTGACGCAACTGCCTTCTTTTATTGTTTTCTTCAAAGTGACAGCATGCCAGAAAGAGTAAATTCACAGGAAGTTTAAACCAAGTGAACTTTTAGACATTTTTTGTTTGTCAGTTAATTTTTGAATAGCTGCAAATATTATAATCTACTCTACCTTTAACTGTCAGTATTTCAATTTGGGCGATTCACAATGCAGTGCACCACCGAAACTTTTCCATGGAGAGTCCATTTTTCAAGTTTACGGTCTACAAAACATGGCCCATTTGAGTGTCAGTAGACAACTTGAGCGAATTTGTTAGAGATTAGGGCATAACATTCTGCCGTCTTACTTAAAACACCATATGGACAAAAAGAAAAGCAAAGTGCAAACAGATACCAGAATCATACACTTAAGAAACTACTGACCAGAAAAACGAACAATTTCAAATATCCAGCGCTGCGAAATTGTTGACCATCTCCCATATATGATGCACTGGGGAAAAAGAACTCTCTGTGGCAAACTCTTAGTGGTGCACTGCATTGTGAATCGCTCGAATTTCCATCAAAGCTAATATAAAACAACTCAGATAGTTAATGAAATATAAGCCATTACAAAATTGAAATCCTTCCTTTAAATTTTTATGTTGTGAACACAGAAGATATTAATTTTGCTGTGTACTGGCATGACTTGTGAAATTACTTATACCCACAAGTTCTAATATGAATACATTGCCTTTTCAATTTTAACAATTGTATTTAAAAATCAATACTCAAATTTGAGACCAACAATGAAAGGTGCTGGTTTAAAGCATTTGGTGTTTTGGCATAGTTTGTAGGTAAAAGAAGCTAGGCTCCTTCTAGTTTTGTACCATAGTTTTTAGTTTTCTTGCACAAAGTCTCTTCATGCCTGCACAATTCTGGTTGAAGTGTCTAGTAGTATATATTTAAGAACTCCAAAGTGGGTTGCCATGCAAATAGTTTCAAAGGAAATTGAAATTTGAGGCAAAATGTAATTTAGCTGTTTCTTGTACGAAACTTTGCCTAATATTGCTGAATCCAACAAAATCCAACAAAATCATACACTCGGGATTGCTCTTAACAAAACATATGTTTGATTTTTCTATAAGGTGTTCGATTACTTCTATACTGCTCTTTGTCGTGCAAGTGCGACTGCGTTCGATTTAACTCTCACGTGCCTTCTTTCTTGCACTTACTTGGGCCTGGCCAAAGTACCGACCCACTTTAATTATGAGTCTTGCGCAGCAGGGGATTCAAAAGTGTCTCACTCAGCTTCACTTCTCACAAGTACTAGACGATGTGAGGAAAGTTAAGTTTAAACATTCCCGGCATTTCTTGTTCACTTTGGAAGCGCACGTACAGTGGCCACCATTGCTCGCTTTCAAAGGCTCGATTCTATTTTTTATTACCACAGATGAAAGTATGGGTAAGCGCAAGGGAAGTAATCGAGCGTTTTGTTGGGTCTTCTGTTTGATTTGACTGGCTTGACTTTGGATTCTGGTGGATTCTGATAGATTTTGTGGGATTCAGCAACTCGCCACCAGTTGATACATCAGGGTTGTTTTTATTCCCTATTCATAAATACCTAAGACAGTTTACCCATTCCCATTGGTCGAGAGCCCGTCACGTGGCCGGTCTTAAACGGATGATAGAGACATGGCTGGCTGGTCTTAAACACTTTTACTGTGTCACATGAAATTTTGACACTATAAAATCCAGTGCCTTTTACCGTTTTATAGGTTGAACGTTCACAATCATCACGTAGGCATGTGCAATGCTACCAGCAATGCTAAATTCAAAACGCACTCACCACAGCCTGCATCTGCTCGTAATCGCGCAGTACGCGCGACGCCCGCACCAATCTCCATAAAAGAAGTTGTTTATGTCTCACTTGCGAGCTGGACTCTAGTATATAGCTAAAGGGGTGTTTTCGAAAAACAAAGTAAAATGGTTGACCGAAAATCGTTGGAAAATTGTAAATTTTGATTTGTTTTGACTTTTGGACAGAAAAGTTCTGATTTCTTTTACTGAAAAGGTATTTATGAATAGGAATAAATATGCACTTAATCGGTCGGTATTAAACACTATGTTTAAGACTGTTGGAGTCTAGAATGCTGATAATTACCTCAGGCATCGCCTGGGGTAATTATCGGCATTCTAGATGCCAACCAGTCTTTAACACAGTGTTTAACACCTCCGAAGCACACATTTATTGCCTTATTTTGCCACAGTGGTATAAAAAGGTGCATACTTTATGCGAACGAATATTATTTATTGTGCACAAATTTTATCCACGGGCTCCGTGCACCAACAAGAGAGGGTGCTTTGTTACCACATTTGAAAGCCCTATGAATGGGACACACTCCATGTGCGTACTGATAGTGATAATGCGCGTATAGTTAAATGTATGCAAAACTGATTTTTTTTTTGCATGTGCACGCACACACACACCAATGTCAAGTGTCTTCTACAATGTGTTTGATTGAATGTCACTCAAGTGGTCTCCCCCAACTCTCCCTTTCATACCGTTGAGGGGGTACTTGTGCACGGAGCCCATACGGAGTCATGTAGCAAGTTCTTTCACTTCTATTCATTCCTGTAGACCTGGGTGCAATTTCATGCTGCTACTTAGCAGAAAATTGTGCTTAGGAAATTTATTATTTGCTGTAAAAAAAGTAAGTGAACCAGTTTACTAGTAATAGACATTACGTGGTATATTTGGATGGTAACTTCGTTTTGTGCTTATAGCTATGTTATGTAAGTGGCTCCTGCTTATACAAAGTGAGTCAAACGAAAGTTACCCAAGTTAATGATTTTTTTATCTTAAAATGCGATCCAATTTGAAACACGTCATATGAGGTACATCTTAAAAGAGCATCATGTTCCTCTCATCTAAAAAGAATAAGAAGTACTGACATAGATGAATGCTATCAGGAGTTTACTAAAAAAAATGGAATGCCATTAGAAAGTATAGAGTCGACTAAGTATTACACGTTCCACATTTCTTTGAACTCAATAGGCATTCATTGGTTCGTACAGAATGGTAACTGATTAATGTTGGACGGCGAGTTGTGTGATCTTTGTGTTGAAATAGACATCACTTGAGTATGCAAATAACGTGAACTTTTCACAGTTAAAAGTCAATAAGATGTACTTTATCCCTGTTGGTTTTTTGTGTGTAAAATGTCTCAAGCCAGACCTTTTTCAAATTGGGTAACTTTCTTTTTGACTCGCCCTGTAGTGGCAACACTGTATGTAAATGGCGCTCCAATTCTTACCTTTTGTTAGTGTTGTTTGTTTATTTGATTATTTTTCTTCAGTTTACAAGATTGACCAGATTATAAATTGACATTTGAAATTTACACATATCATACACGTGTGTATTCAACAAAGATTCTGGGCTATTGATACTTCCAAAACTGATCTGTGACTGTAAACAAATGGTCGAAAAGTAGGATTTTCAGATTTATAGGTTAATTTGCGTAGTTCTTCATTCTTAGTTCTAAATTACAAAAGAAAAATGCAAGGACTTGCTTGTGCAGCTCATTTTATTGTACAAGTGTTACTTTAAAGTGTCAAATATGAATACATTTTGTCAATTTAAAAACCGTTTTGTAAAACTAAAAAATATAAGTGCCAAATTATTCCAGATTTATTCCGGACCCCCAAATATTATTCTTCATTCTTTTGAAAGGTAAACCCATAGAGCTATATCAAATTACTAGAGTGCTGACAGGATGTACAAAGTGATGCCTGCTGGGCGCATCCGTGTTTGTACACAAACACGGGAAACTCAAAATTTGGTACGGCTTTTGTACAGCTATTTGCATATCTGCTTTTGTATTTATACAGCTGTGTTATCAAAGCCGATACGTGCAAAACCGAAATGCACGATCAGTAAATAAGCGTTTCATTTTGCTCCACGAAAACAGCGCAACGCGTGTGTATCAGCTGCAGATGAATATTACCGTGATGTTTATTTTAAACAGTAATGACATGCTTACGTTGTTTGCTTACGTTCTACTTGGGCGTTGCATTTAGAGTCCACTTTCAAAATTCAATCCAACTTATTTCATTGTGTTCTACAACATGCACATGAAGTCAAAATGTCTGTGCCCAGGACGGCTTCAAAGTGTCTCCGCGCGTAATGATGGGTTAGCGCTCTAGTAATTTAAAATAGCTCTGTTAGGTAGCCCACTTTCAATAACTTATGTTCCAGTGAATCATGTAAAAAGATTGAGAAACGAAAATTGTTATCTTGATACGTCGACTTTAAAAAGGAAAATAAATTTCTCCAAGAAAGAAGCATTGTTGAGAAAATCAAATTTGTACGTTGAATTTATAATCACTAATGATGCATTTCTGAGGATCCAGGCCCCGCCCCCGGTTTCCTGGCCCCGGCCCAGCCCCGAAATCCAGGCCCCTGCCCAGCCCCGAAATCCAGGCCCCGGCCCAGCCCCCGGGATCCAGGCCCCGGCCCGGATCCAGGCCCCGGACCGGATCCTGGCCCCGGCCCAGCCCCGGGATCCAGGCCCGGCCCAGGCCCCGGGATCCAGGCCCCGGCCCAGCCCCGAAAATCCAGGCCCCGGCCCAGCCCCGGGATCCAGGCCCCGGCCCAGCCCCGAAAATCCAGGCCCCGGCCCAGCCCCGAAAATCCAGGCCCCGGCCCAGCCCCAAAATCCAGGCCCCGGCCCAGCCCCGGGATCCAGGCCCCGGCCCAGCCCCGAAAATCCAGGCCCCAGCCCAGCCCCGAAAATCCAGGCCCCGGCCCAGCCCCGGGATCCAGGCCCCGGCCCAGCCCCGAAAATCCAGGCCCCTGCCCAGGCCCCGGGATCCAGGCCCCGGCCCAGCCCCGAAAATCCAGGCCCCTGCCCAGGCCCCGGCCCAGGCCCCGGGATCCAGGCCCCAGCCCAGCCCCGAAAATCCAGGCCCCGGCCCAGCCCCGAAAATCCAGGCCCCGGCCCAGCCCCGGGATCCAAGCCCCGGCCCAGGCCCCGGCCCAGGCCCCGGGATCCAGGCCCCAGCCCAGCCCCGAAAATCCAGGCCCCGGCCCAGCCCCGAAAATCCAGGCCCCGGCCCAGCCCCGAAAATCCAGGCCCCGGCCCAGCCCCGAAAATCCAGGCCCCAGCCCAGCCCCGAAAATCCAGGCCCCGGCCCAGGCCCCGGGATCCAGGCCCCGGCCCAGCCCCGAAAATCCAGGCCCCTGCCCAGGCCCCGGGATCCAGGCCCCGGCCCAGCCCCGAAAATCCAGGCCCCAGCCCCGAAAATCCAGGCCCCGGCCCAGCCCCGGGATCCAGGCCCCGGCCCAGCCCCGAAAATCCAGGCCCCAGCCCAGCCCCGAAAATCCAGGCCCCGGCCCAGCCCCGGGATCCAGGCCCCGGCCCAGCCCCGAAAATCCAGGCCCCAGCCCAGCCCCGAAAATCCAGGCCCCGGCCCAGCCCCGGGATCCAGGCCCCGGCCCAGCCCCGAAAATCCAGGCCCCTGCCCAGGCCCCGGGATCCAGGCCCCGGCCCAGCCCCGAAAATCCAGGCCCCTGCCCAGGCCCCGGCCCAGGCCCCGGGATCCAGGCCCCAGCCCAGCCCCGAAAATCCAGGCCCCGGCCCAG